CAGCAAATTTAAGGTAATTAAATAATAATCTGCCCAACGGTTGGAACCTGACTGTTTTCCGTCTAAGCTAAAAAAGCCTCGAAAGACCTCGAAATCTATGCCAATTATGGTGCATTAAACCTCTTCATTATCGACTGTACTGTGTGAAAGGCTGAATTCCAGCATTAACGAACTGATTGGACCTTAACATTGTGGCTTGAGACCGGAAAATTACCATGCATCAAACATGAAACAGAGCCGGGAGAAAGCATCGACCACAACATCCTTTTGTGGATTATATATCAGAGGTGCTCTAGCTATGTCTGCTCCAAAAGCTCTGTCAAAAATGGGATCTCTCCGAACGATTCGGAATAAACTGAGACTTCTGTGCAAGTGGCGCTTTTTCGTGTTACTTCTTCAACCCAATGCTTGAGAATATGCATCCGAGCTGAGCTAAACAGATTTATTAGAATCATCTATAATAGCATACAACTGCTGGAGTATGCTAATGGTTTTTTTAGAACTCCCACGTCTCTGTTGACAATAATAACTTTGAAGTCGTACATAATTTCCTCTATCTGAGAACCTGCATGATATGCAATAAAAGTTTTGTCAGAGCTTTGAAATCGAATGCAAAATTACTCTTGGCAACGATAATACTAAGCAGATAATTGAAAACTAATGTTTTTTTTAGACAGAGAAAGCCAAGCACACCTCGCTTAATTATCCCATCGTAACGTAGACAACATCCAATGAGTCGCTTTGAGAGTCTTCTAGAGAATGATTTTGTGGCATAAATAACGTACCTTGCGTATGAGAAATCACTGCTCGGAAGACTCGGGTTCAAATCCAACATCCAAAAGTTATAGAAAATTACCTTAAATAAAAAATTAAGTTGGATTTTCTAACTGCGGTCGCCTATAGCTTGGGAATTTCAACCATTCCGAGTGCATTTCTAGCATGAAATAAGCTTTTCATAAAAAAACACAAGCCGTTCGGGGACGGCTTAGTATAAACTGCAGGTATCGCAATTTGTTGGATAAACATCCAGACGCAATACCACAAATTGAAGGAGGAGCTCGGCCGAAAAATCTCTTCAGCGGTTACAAGGCGCCAATTATATACATAATCACTGCTGAACCTGAAATGATGAGCTGTACGAGTACCTAGGCTAGTTCATACCAGAAGGTATTCACTGAAGATATTCATTTCAAATCGGGCGAAATAGCAGAAGGAGAAGGGCCTGGCTTCACTTTGTGCCGATACGCCGGGCACTCAATGGGTTATTCGACAGTAAACACGACCTGTAGTAAGCATGCTGTCATCCAGAGTCATTCGAATGAAATTTGCAGCAGCAATAGTAATAATAAGGTGGTCGGCTTAAAATAATATGCGTTAAGTAATTATCATTCAATGGTTTAAGAGTTATTTTTTGTTGTGGTAATCCTATGTTCAAGCTAGATTGTTTGAAAGCAAGTCTGTTGAAGAAAGGTTGTGTTTCCCAAAATATCTATATATACCATCTGGCGTGCAGGCTTTTGTTATAATTCAATTTAAAGGTTTCAATTGCATTTAATCCTTTCAAGACCGCACATAGACGACTGTTCAGAAAAACTTTTTGTTTTATTATATTTGTGCTGATATGATCCTAATTAAGGGAATTTGAAGGTTACAAGGTCTCACACCTACCTGGTAACGAGATATGTGAAGTTGCTTATAAGCAAAAATAATTCCTGCAGTCTAACTATGAAAAACTTCGTCAATATATTAAAGCACGATTTTTCCTTAAGCAACACGATTCTTATAACTTTTTCACTTGCACCTTTCAAAAATAAAGATTTCCTTGTACACTAAAAATCGCCCACTACTGGCTTGTCTGAGTTCAGTTTGTTTACAGCTCGTGCTTATACGCAACTCTGGGGTCAAAAATGTTAAGTTTGGAAATGAAGTTGAATAATTTTCATTAAAAAAAATGTTTGATTTAAAGTACAAATGAAAAATCAATTCTTTTGGCTGGCCGCTTTCAGAAAAAGCTCATCGATTGAAATTAAAATTCTTTGGAGCATATACATCAGCATGTTTAGGGTAACCAAAACAATACTAGCTACAATTCAAAGTGCTTGCATACTTTTAGGCACTAACTCAAATTGCTTTCTGTCATGTGTACAATACATTCGAATGTACGCATGCAATTCTCAAACGAAGTTCGAACTAATACGCATGTATACGAGTATTTAGGCAAAAGGCTTGCTGTTTGTACAATAATTGCAATGCTTTCGAATTTTCATGAATTCTCATTCAACTCTTCATACAACTGACTCCAGTCAAGCGTCAATGACTTACTATGTATTCCTTATAGCATCAGGCCGGTATTTCTGAAAAGAACAAGGCTGACCATATAACATACACTCGCAACTGGTTTTGACCAGCCTGCACTTTGTTTGGGAATTTGATGTTCAATTTCCTTAAACCATTCACCTTGAAGTCGAAAAGCAGGTTAGATTGGCTGCAGGATTGTAACAAAACAAAAAAAGGAGAAAGGAGATCTTTTCATTTCATTCTATGTTGTTAAATCATTTTCAATTAAAACAAGAGTAAAAACGTGTGTGCTTGGAGATTTTTGTGCAATATTTCATGGGTTTTAAAACTAAAATTTCATTACTTTAAACAAACTAATAAAAATTAAAATAAAAGAAATATTTTAAAATAAGTTACAACAAATCTTAATCAATTATATTAAAATAAAAAAATATGTAATGCATTATTAATCATTTCATTGATAAAAGAGTTGAGCAAATATGTTTATATATTCGTTTTTAAATTCAAACTCATAAGTTCTTCTATACATTTGACCAACTAATGGATTAATTTATTTTTCCAAGAAGTTAATTTTCGTATATTTTATTTTAATTCCCCAAATATATTTGAATAAAATAGAATTTGTGTGTAATTTTCAAGAACATGCACATACATATAATAAATTTAAAATTCTACAGCCATGTACTTGAATCACCAACAAGGTATAAATGTAACTAATATCCATACCACCAATGAAGATTTGCATAAATTGCATTGTGAACGCGCAATCATGGCTGTTGCATTATTTAATGGTATGATGATTATATTTCGGAGTATACGTGCATAGATATGTACCCTACAAGAAATGTGCTGGCTTTATGATGGGTGAGTGGCAACACCCGAAATGAATAGTCGCATGTTTAGTTATCAATCACCTGGGAAGAAAGACATAAACTACAAAACTGAAGTTGATTTTTCCGCCTAAGTTAGATATTAAATGTTCAAATGCATTGTTCGATTAGAAAAAGTGCATAAATATATCCCAAAAAAAAATTCGGCTCATAACGATCGAGAATGTCTGAAATATTATTAACGCAAACATAATATAATTGGCCCCTTGTAACTGCTGAAGCGATTTTCGGCTGTGTTCCTCCTCCGATTTGTGGTTTTGCGACACATTAAGCGACCTAAAGTTTATGCTAAGCCGACGCAGAATAGTTTGATAGTTTTTAATAGGGAGTCTTTATTTCATGCCAGAAATGCACTCGAAAAAATAATAAAGAAATTAGTAATCAAAAGTAGATCTCATTCAAAAGTTATGCTGAAGCCAACTAGTCCACAACAATGCCATTTCAGACTACTTGTAACTAATTAGCGTCCAATTGTGTCTAGTTCGTGAAAAGATATAAAATACGCCGGAGGTTTGTTGTTTGTGAATGTAGAAATAAATCGGCAACAAAAAGCTTTAATCACTAGAAACAGCGGTTGGTTGCTGCGCATTAGAGCCCACCATGCAAATGAGAATTCACGTATTCTGCTCATCTCTGCCTGCAGTTAGTTGCCGTTAATACGAGTATTTAGCCATTCAGGTGAGCTACTGCTACCGCCTTCTATGGGTGCAATGGTATGTTATCATCGCTTTTTGTAATTTGCTACCTGTAAGCGCTTCTGCTGCTACATTGTGATTACGATGTATGCTATTTGGAAGAGATAAAACCTGCAATTTCCCTAGATGCTTCTTTCACATAAATATAATGCATTGAAAACTGTTAATATTTAGCTGCTACAGCGAGTGCACAACATACGACAAGCTAATAGATGTAGCATTTATGAAATGTTTGAAATTTAACAACGCACAAGCTCGTACACACCAGACAGTAAACTTTAATCCCTTAAAAGTGGGAGTATAGGGATTGTGGCGGACACAATAATCAAGTGGTTAGCATTGAACACTGCCAATTAGAAGTCAAGGGTTCGAGTCCTGGTTCGACCAACACTCAGAATTGGAACAAAATTATATTTTTAATTGGGGCCAAGCCAAGGTGGGTAATTTCAAGCCCTAGGAGCATATTTCTGACGTCAAATAAAAGCTTTTCATGAAAATCCGTCTGAGTCAGCTTAGAAAATACTGTAGGTCCCTTCATATTAGAATTGAAAGGAGTTTATTTGGAGAGATTAAATGATTAAAATTATTTTGGAGAAATGAGAGTGAGAGTATTCTGAGCGATAAAGTGCTCGGTAAGCAATGTTTATTCGCAACCAAATCAACTTCGGCCATAACTGAATCAACGAAAGTCCCACGGCGCCAATTGGAGGCACGTCGTGTAGGCGGTTACTCTCCAACTAATCTTTACTACTGAGGGGAGATTCTTACACTTCCACCAGCTGCGGGTATTTTGAGAGCTGGAGTGCTTCCATCTATTCACTGTGGTATGTTAATATCGTAGTAGAAGTCTTATACCTCATCACTTGAAAGTTCCTTGAATTCTTTGGAAAATTTTTTTCTCGTAAACTCTTAATTCCTACAAAGGAGTTAGAGACAAAGAAGAGATGTCTTTAATTCTCAATTACCTAGTCTGCTGAAGGTAGTCTCTGGTAACAGGAGATATTCTGCTTTGGATATTTATTGGTTACTAGAAGACACTTTACCCAGTTTTTGTGACTACCAAATTCTACAATTAATGATGGATTTACTTGGTCTGAAAACAAAAGAGTAGATTCAATTTCTTTCACACTACATAAATTCCCTTATGCTTTATTGACACAAGATAGTTAGTTTATGTGATCACTTTTTGTTATGGATTAGGCAGAGTACACATATTTAGCTTCTAATTGTGAGCCATGCACTCGCCGGACAGTTCTTAGCCACCAAATTTGAATAACAGAACTGGTGAGTCTTCGGCTTTTCTCATAGACGGTCAAGAGAATGTCATGGGTTGCATCTTCACTGCGAGAAAACTAGGCTGGCGAAGTATTCCCTCCATAGACTCAGTAAAATTTAGACATCAGTCGTCAGCTCAATTCTTTTGGTTATGCATGAATATTCTCGAGGCTTGAAAGCTTCTGTGTTTTTTCAAAAGCATTTTTAAACATTTCTTCTCAAGCTCTTCAGACTCACAAATTTCCGTCTGTAACTTTGTAGTCTGTAAATATGATTCCCGCTTTTCTCTTCAGATCTCGATATATCTACTACTTGACAAGTGTTGCAGTATATCGTTGTAAGATGGACAGTCGCTCCACTGCGATACGACAATCCTCATAGAACCATTGTCTTTCGGTCTAGTTCGCATACATTCGGTTGGAGTAATTAAAACACGGGCAATCCAATATTTTTCCCCAAGCGACCTTTAAAATTTTTTAAATATGAGATCCGCCAACTTTCAATTCCGATAAGCTTAACATTTTTGTAAGTATTCAATTTTATCGAAAATGCTGTTGTATGTAGCGTACTCGTTTATATGTACGTGTATGTACATATACATATATTTATTTCAATACCCACAATGCACAATATTTCACTGCCATTATGTGCACTCTTTAATCCACAACATGTTACCACAAGCTTAGCCTGCTATCGGCAGCACACCTGTATTAAACCACAAAAAATGCTTCAACAATTTTTCTCGCTAAATTCTGCTCTATACGCAAATATATTTTTATCTGTACGTCTTTATGGGCACTTATTTTACATGTACTTGTGAATTCCATTGCGTTGGCTTGCTGTATCGAGGGCATTTTACCAACTATATTTCCATATTTTTGTGGGCTATAAAAATTTTTGCACACATTTTCGCTGATATGCCATGGCGACGCTAAAGTGGTTTAAAACATAAATATTTTAAATTTTTTTACTATAACAATACAATCTAAACAGATAATGAAATTTATTGACAGGTTCGGAAATCGCTTGGCATGCTTATGGGCGCTTGTGGCAGGAGCTATTATGTGAAGTATGCATTTGTGAGTTATAAAAACAACATATAGAATATTAAATGCATTTCAGCTTGACTGGTTTAGAATAATTAACCTGATCAACATACAGGTTTGTATCCATTATATTATCGGCATATAGTTTTTAATATCATCATGAATTCATTATGACTATTTTTTTTTTTTAATTCCTGACATTTAAGTATAAGTCACCTGAACTGAAAGAATTGGGACACAATTTATGGCTTTTACCTTCAAAAAACACTTTTCCCGCGCTCCATGACAAGCTGAAATGGAAAGTAATATTGGGTCCGACTTTTTATCTAGCTTAAAGTTTTCAGATATCAAGAGCAACATGTATTTTGTACTTTAGCGTAAATTAAGAAATTAAACATTAATAATTTTTTGATATTAGTATTAAGTAAACTATAAGGTCTGGTTGTTTGTATGAATTGAATATTTGTTATACAACAAAGAAAAATGATAGAAGTGATAGCTGCTTCGGAGATCACCACATCTCCTCATCAGACTTCTTATGGCAGGGATCGAACCAACGCATCCTGACTTAACAGGCGTGTGTTCTACCACTACAATCTCTTGTTGTATTATTCTATTCATTATTAACCAACAACTATTAAGTTGTTTATATTATTAAATACTTTATCGGTTGGCTGTCTGCATCAAATCAGGAAAAACTAAAAAAATCGGCAGTTGCGGGGAGTAAATTATTTATTGAATATGGCTGAAAAAACAATTTTAATATTATATGTTAAGGACAGTCTGAGGCTCAAGAAATAAAAACAGTCGAAGTTATTATTATCATTTTTTAATAGAAACCCGAGTGCCTGATTGGAGAATATCTTGAAATAATAGAATGACGACTTTAGGAATGTTCATGTCAGGGTTCCGGCAAACCCCATTAACCAGTTTACGAAAACTGAAAATAAATAGTTTTTGAAAAAAATAATATTTAACCAAAAAGTATTGGAGTACTCCGCTTTGCCTAAGCCTTTATACCTTTAAGAATATATAAAATTTATTGCAAAATGCGAAAATCAATTTCGATTTTTTTCAGTGTCAAGCTTCACGCGCCCTTATGACGGATTTTTGACCAGTACAAAACGGTTGAATGGCGTATACATAAATGCTATTTATAGTTGTCTGATCAGGTAGGTAAACAGACGGAAATGGCAAAATCAACTCAGCTCGTTATTCTGCAGCTCTCGGTATAATTTTTGGCGGGTCTCTCTCACTTCTCTTTGTCTTACTAACACACTAAAGGCCAGAGTTAATATATCATTTCATGCTCGTGAATTGTATAAAAAGTTTAAGAGTCACCTGTTAAAAACTTTTAATTTCAGATACATGAAAATTTAGCTTGAAATGGTAGTAAGTTAAAAATATCTTGGAAGATGGTTTCCGACTCTTTGGTAACGCTTATCAATTAAGCCGTTTATTTCTCCATCTAATTCTGCGAACGGAGTGAAGATCTTAATGTTACTTTACTTCCACTTGCGAGTACTATTTCGAGTTCTTTCATAGCTGGAGTATTTTCGCCATTCATCTGAGCGACATGATTAAACCAACATAACGTTTTTTCTTTTATTTCACTAAATAATGTCAATATTTTTGTATGAGTCATATATTCTCCTTCCACCCTCTGCAATCGTTCGCCAAACATTTCCGCAACCTTTTATGTCTTTGACTCGCAAAATCATTGGATATTGTAATCGTCTATGCTTCTGTACCACAAGGTAGAGCTAAATGGAATGATAATCGACGATTTGTCAAAATGTTGTTTTTCAGTTGCTTACTCAATAACAACATCAACTGCTGGCGAGAGTGATTATGTGTTGAATTTCAAGGCTGAGGCGTTTGAGTCAAAACACGCATGGTCTATTTGTTTTACGAGAAGGCATATTTAATCTTATCTTTGTTCCTTTACCAGTCTAGAGAAAGAAGGTTTATATAAAAATTAATTTTATCGTATTACATTCTCCAGCATTCCTTAAAAAATTTCATAGAACATGGAGTCACCTTGTCTGAAGAATCATAATGAACATCTCGGAGAGATGCTTTGCAATAATTAGGCAGCCTTAACGACGAGGTTGTTAATGACGTTACTTTTCCCTTGATTGGGCAGTATTGGGCACAGACACTCTCACATTCCAGTCGTGGTCCAAATTTTTTCCATACCATTAACTTTGGTTAAATGAAATACAAGTTATACATACCAATTAGCAATCAACAAACATAGTTATTTCAAAAGAGATTTTTTAGGGTAATTTTTTCAAATTGAGCGTAACATTTTGAAGAATTATTTAAAAAATACCTATTAGATTTGCTTTCACATTTTTTTTTTGTTTTGAAAATTATTGCTCACAATTTCAATGAAACTAACTAGTTAAATGAAAAGTTGCAATACCGTTATCATACACAATAGATTTAAAATTGCCCAACATCATATTTTTCATCAATTAGTTTACTTTTGCGCCGATAAAATGCTTGTATGTAACGAATGTCTACAAATATTTATTCAAATTGTGCTAAGCATTTTAGCTAACCATTCATCATCGTCAATTGAAGCGAATGTGCTGTTATTGTAATAAAAGCAGACAAATCTATTCTAAATTATCGATATCAAAGTGGCAGCAGCAGGCGTACAGTTTAAGTAATAACTTTTACAATTGCTGAAAATATTTCCATATACCAGAAAATACCAGAAAATATTTATATTTACATACATTTTTACATATGGGCAATTCCACAGTGACTATTTTTGATTTTGATTGAATTTTATTGGAATTTAGTCGCCACGGAAATACGTATTTGAAATTTAAATTTTTTCTAAAAAAAATTGCATGCATTTCTTTTTTAATTCATAAATTTATAAATTTCATATTTTATGAGTATGCAATTTTGTATCAAGTTTGTTCTGAGACTATTTTAAAAATTAACTTACCGATCAATGAATTAATGCAGGAAAGAAATGCGAGTTTTATTTGGTTTTAAATTTAAACAAATAATTCTTAACTTTTAATTAATTATTTTAAAAAGTTTTCTTGGAATGAATAGGCAATAGAAATGTAAAGTCATCTGAAGACTCGCCGATAGGAGCTTTCGAGAGAAAGGTTTTGCGTAAGGTTTATGGATGAGCTGTATGACATAGTTTAGCGAATCAAAAAACAGCTGCTGCGCTGGCCAAAAAATGTGGTTACGGCATGGACAATAATACTCCAGCTAAGAAAGTTTTCGAAAGACCAAGTTGAGAAAGACCTAGCTTTACCTGATATCTCTCGAAGCGAATAAAAAGAAATAAATGACGCTTTGGTATAAATTGGGCTATAATCGCGTCGGTGACATCACCCCAATAATCTATTTTTAACAATTGGAATTTTAAAATAAAAATTTCTACGGTAAGAAATTTTGGAAATAGATTACAATAATTATAATTTTGACCAGTACTAGCAGTTTCAATGCTTTATCACATCTCATTTTCCACTTTACAAGGAATGCGCCTGTTGTATTTTGAATAAAATTCAGCTTTGTTCATTCATAAACTTGGGAATAACTGAAATACTCATATTATCATTTCAATTTAATTCTATTTATAACTGCTGCTCACTATGTTGTTACAGTCGCTCAAAAATATTCATGCATATGTTGAGATATACTCGTACATATATGTAAATATGCATGTATACATATACACAGATGTTGCGTCATGTAATGCGTCAGTAAACCATATTGGTAATATTCGAAATTTTCTCTTCAACTCACAACGACTATTATTCTTGTACACATATATAATATAATCCTATATACAGACATACAGATGTGTAAACACAGGGCCAATTTGGTAATTGTTTGCCGCTGAGGCCAATGTTTGGATTAAGAACTCAAACTTATGAAATGTTAACCTTTATATTCGTTTACTTAAACATAAAGTACATTTATGAAAATATTTTAAAAACATTTCGGAAATATTATGAACTCCAAAAATTTGATGAATTTTTTAAGTAAGAAACACAATAATGAAATCAATAAAAAATTGCGTTCTAATAGTGGGGTTTTGAATTATTTGTTAGGTTTTTCTACATAGCAAATATTTATTTATGATATTATCGTGTATATATATATATACATACATATTTCCTAATGAATAACGTAGCTGCTTCATTTTTTTTTTTTTCAAAATTCAAACTCGTTTTACAATATAATTTCTTGTCGCGCCAATTTCGGACTGTTTAATATATCGAGACTGTATTTTCACATCTGTTAAATTTAACTGTCAAAGCAGAAATGTTAGTATATAGTGATATTCCCTACAGTAAGTGAAAGAGTCGCCGAAGACTCGATTGTTCTCAAGACCTGAGACTTACACTGATATCCATATTGAGTCCAGCTTATATAAAAACCGAAACCAACTGACCTTTCAAAGCATCGTTTTAAGTGACGAGATATTTTACTCCATCGGATATATGAGGATAAGAAAAATTGTCACGTTTGGGTCCTCGAGAATTCTCAAACACATGAAAAGAGGCTATTACACATAAAAAAAAATACTGTGCCATGATTGATGGGTGCGATTGGACCTTACTTCTATGAAAACGGCAACGGCGTGACTGCCGTTATTAATTCTGAGCGTTATGATCGTACTGCCTGCGATTTAAGATCACGACTTGGACAATAATTTGGTAACACATGTCCAACGATACGACCAAATGGGACTTTATTACGAGAACGATTTTCCGGCCACGATATTACACCGTTGGACTTTTTTTTGAGGATAAACATATAACTCTTTAGCGCTTAAAAGCTAGCATTCCTCATGTTGGGCGGAATCTATGCATGTATGTGTCAAAAAGTGGTCAAAAACACAAACAGTTCGAAGTTAATCAAAATTCGCGTGGCGGCCATTCAAATGAGGTAGTGTTTCACATATGAAAAGT